CCCCAAAACCCCAAAACCCCGAGCAACTAATAATAGAAATTTCAGGCAATCAATAATATTAATTGAAAATTATTTCATTTATAATACGTTTGCCTTATAAACTTCCTGAAAATCTTAATCATAATAATTTAAAATTTTAAAGCGACTTGACTACTTATATTATACTAACAAAGTGCCTCAATTATGATGAATATAAGCCAAGAAAACTTAATCAATAATGAAAAATTGATAGAAAAATGCAAACTTTAATGCGACAAAATAATTAAAGGATATGAAGATTAGAATGATGACTTAAAGCCTGAGTACGAAGTTTGTATCAAATTAATTCCATGGGGATCATCAGTAGAAAAAATGAAGGCTCCATAGCTTGCATTAGTCGATTAAAACTAAAATATAGGTACTTCTTTTAAAATGTCTTAAAATTAATTGCAAGAATTAAATCAACAAATCTATCTTCCCAAACAAATAACATCTACCAGTGATCAGCAGGATTCAAACAATAATAATAGACATCTAATGTGTGGATTGAAATCGAAAAAAGAATTTTATAAAATGTAGTAGATTAGACAGAATTAGTAAAATATCTAAAAAAATCATAAATTCAATGAGCGACCCTGTAGTTAGAATAATTACCGATAAGAAAATAATGTTTGCAATCGAAATTTATAGCTTTAGATAGTTGGAACAAAAATTATACTCGATAATCTTAATGACTTTATAATTTAAACTTATTGAATTAATAATGCCAGTTTTTCTCCTCATGAAAATTTTCAAATACCATCTAGTAGGGATCCTTATAATATTTTAATCGAAGATAATAAGCTTACTAATATTGATCATTTCCAACTGGATCTTAAAAGTGAATCTTTACTTAGTAAGTAAAATTGTTTAAAAACTGATAATGCATAAGAATTTAAGAAAACTTTTAAAATTGAGTAGACAGAGAAAAAATTGAAGTATGATTTAGAAAGAGAATAAAAGCATGAATAAAATTATAAGACTAATTTGAATGACTAATAACTTAATTGCTTAGTTTAAGAAAAGTATTAAAGCAAGATAAAATAACTCGGAAAAGGAAACATAAAGAACAAAAAATGGAATTCAAGTTAAAGATAAAATTTCATGAAATCAGACTATCAAATTGCAATACTTTAAAGTGAATATGCGAAAAATTAACAGTGGACATCCGATTTTTTGACATAAGTAAGTATTAGAGTTGGCCTTAAGCGAGTGCAGGTATACAAATGGTACTGGGATAGAAAAGAAGAATTGCTGAAAATATAAAAAGATAGACTTTAACAGCTTTGCTAACCATCAAAAAAACTATTCAAACTTACTAGAGTTTCAAAGATGAGTGATCATGCAAATTAATGTTAATAGCTAAACATATAGAGCTAATAATTATTTCAATCTTAATCTCAAGAGATAAGCATTTTCAAAGTTTATAAAATGGAAAAATGCACAAAAAATATTGCTCTTGGACTTTCTAAGTGATTTTAAGAAATTGAGAAAAATATAGAATCATTAAAACTAAACTTTTTTATTTCATTCATAATATTTTTATTATATTTTAATTTCTCAATTATAAAGTGAAATATATTTCCTGATGGGGTTTTGGGGTTTTGGGG